TGGAGTTGTCCTTCAATGCTTCATGGGCTGTTCTTTGATTTGACCTTCTGTTTGGTCCTTGTTCTGTTCTTTTCCGGTATGTTCCTAATTTCGGGGACAAAATTCTCAGTGTTATTTTATCAAAATTGAATTGGGGGTTTTCATTCTGTCCAAATGAAATCAAGATTTTCATTCGAAGGTTTACTAAAATCTCTGTCTTCATTATGATTTTCTTTAAAATTGGTTTGGAACTCTGTCATAGTTGATTTGGGTTAGGGTTTCACTTTATTTTTCTATCAAAAGTCATTTTACAAATCCTTACAAAATCATGTCATCCTCTGAGCCTAGGAAAAACCCCACCCACTCTCAAAGCAAGCGAAAGAAAAATAGTCACCCTGAGCAAGCTGAGGCTAGCAACACCGAGTCCCTACCCATTTCCAACCTTGCTCTTTTCAAAAACCCAGCCATAAAAAATCTGTATGACACAAAGTTTCTTCATAGAAAAGTTGCTTCTAGGAAAGTCTTGTCAAATCCGAGTGTAAGGCTCTTCATCTCAATACTTATGACTTATTTGATGCCATTAGGTTGGGTCAATTTATCGCCATGAATATTCCATTCTATCCGTGCATAGTTCGTCTTTTCTACACACATCTTGAAAAAAAACCAAATTCCCTGCAAATGGAATCTTTTGTTTCCGGTACTAGCTTTTCCCTAGATATCCTTACCATTCGCACAATTCTCGGATTACCCATAGGATCCATTAAATATTTCACTACCTTCACATGGTATCAAGGGGAGGATTTTAATGAGGTTGAGGCCATACGCCAAATGAGCTATAATGAAAGAATCACCAACACTTAAAAAGTTCATGCAAAACAGCTCACTTTGGAAGCTCGAGTCATTTACAACATCATCATGTATGCAATCCTTCCAAAATTCGGAGGTCGCTCGGATGTCTCATACATAGAGGCCTTCCTCATTTGGTGCATCCTAAATGGTAAGGATTTTGATCTTGCATTCCTTATCTTTCATCATATCAATGACTGCCAAAGGAGTGAAGACAAACATCTCTTTTATGCCGTGCCCTTGAGTCGTATTTTTCTTGCTAAGGGGGTATCCGTTGGGAGAGAAGTGAAAAGGGATCAAGGACCCCGAAACAAACTCACATCCGCTACTATTGGGTTAATGGGGTTTCAAATGGACAGTGATGGGCATTGGTTCAATCCCATTGAGAGGGCTTGGAATGAGGCTTTAGAAAGAGGAGAACTTTAGGACAATGGGGAATTTCTTGTCCCTCCTAATATTCCAGCTCCTGTTGCGCAAGAAGATGATGATCATGATGACCCCCCTCCAGTTGTTCCTCATATCCCTATGCCGCCTCCACAGAGCGATCCTGCTATTCTCGAGCTTCTCACGTAGCAAAATGATCTTCTTCACGAGCATATTAGTATCTCTCACGGGACTGAAGCTAAGGTCAATGATATGGTTGGTCGCCTTGACACTATTGAGGGTGATGTCGACGCCATCAAAAAGGATCTCCGAGAGCTGCGTATGGGTGCCGATCTTCCTCCATATTGAGGATTTTTCCGCTTGGGTTCCTGTTCTCTATCTTACAATATGGTTTATCTTACTTTATTTTTCAGTCTTTTCAACCTCTCCATGCTATATTTTCTTTTTAAGGATGATAAAAAGGGGGAAAAGATGTGGTTGATAGGTTGTTGAACATTGGTTTATTTTGGTGGTGTTTGGGCTTAAGCTGTTGCTGTAGTTATTGATGTATTTGTTTATTTTGTGGAAATTCATGTCTATATGCACTCAACCTTGAATATCATGTTAATGAAAAAATTACCTTGGTTCTATATGTATCTTTGTATATGCTTATTGCCTATTTCTTAAATATGAAGTGCACAAAGATAGGGGGAGGTTAAAATGTATAATGCCTATTCTCAGTTGCAAACTAAAACTGTCATGTGATTACCTTGCTATAAAGTACAAATGTGCATAACGATAAGGGGAGCTTTTTTAAATGCAACTCCACTTATTTCTAAAACACATCAATGTTTTGTCATCATCAAAAAGGGGGAGATTGTTAACCTTAAGACTAATTTTGACAATCACAAAACATTAATGATGTTTTAAGGAATAATATTTGACTTGAGAACATATAACAAGTTCGTCATTTGAAGTCTAAAAATGAAGTAGAAAACAAGGAAAGGTAAAGTCAAGCAAGATACATTCTATGCACTCCAAGGACAAAAGAAGACAAATCATTCTATCCCAAGCTTCAAAGATGAAACACGGAGAAGAAAAGTAATCAAGACCGATGATTCAAATGGAGAAGATAGGTTTGGTGAGCGCCTTAGATTTAAATGTTAAAGTAATTTATAAATCTTATGAAGCTCATATCCTTGGATCATTCATTCCTCATTTCATAGTTTAAATGGCATCACACATGGTCCATAATATGTCTTTGAAAGCCTAGCACAAAGAAACAGAGAAGGAGGTTCACATTCAAGGACTTTCGGCCGACCGAACATGAAGGTTCAACCGACCGATAAGGGTTTCACAAAGAAAATATTTCATGATAAATCCATCAGCCGACCGAATTAATTCATCACTCGACCGACAAGAAGCATTCATGAAAACAGAGAGTTAGAGTCTCTCAACCATCGTTTCGGCCGACTGATGATTAGGGATCAGCCGGCTAATAAGGGACTTTCAGCCGACCGAAGATACTCCATCAGCCAGCCGACACAAATAGGTTTGGTGAGCGCCTTAGATTTAAATGTTAAAGTAATTTATGAATCTTATGAAGTTCATATCCTAGGATCATTCATTCCTCATTTCATAGTTTGAATAGCATCACATATGGTCCATAATATGTATTTGAAAGCCCAGCACAAAGAAACAGAGAAGGAGGTTCACATTCAAAGACTTTCGGCAGACCGAACATGAGGGTTCAGCTGACCGATAAGGGTTTCACGAAGAAAATATTTCATGATAAATCCATTAACCGACCGAATTGATTCATCAGCCGATTGACAAGAAGCATTCATGAAAACAGAGAGCTAGAGTCTCTCAACCATCGTTTCGGCCGACTGATGATTAAGGATCAGTCAGTTGACAAGGGACTTTCGGCCAACCGAAGATACTCCATCAACCAACCGACACAGAGTCAAATTCAAATCAAATGGCTACCTGCAAACTTGGACTATTCATACCTCATCTCCAACAGCTATATTGTGCTCCTCTCTCTATAAATATGAGCTGCAGCTTGTGTTACATACACACAACTATTGAGAGCAATTTGAAAAGCATTGAAGAGTTTTATTCTAGAGCATTCAAGGCCATTATTTGATCATTCATTCTCTCATATCATCTTAGAGATTTGAGCTTCATTTCATTCATATATTTACTCTAGTTATGAGCTTACATTTGTACATCTATCTTGAGAGAGATTCTATCTTGTATTCCAAATATATACATTGTTATAAACTTGTAAGGGTTGGTGTGACCCAAAAGAAGCCTTGGAGAAGGGTGTTCTCCTAGCAAGGAAGAGAAGCAAGGGTTTGTTTCATGTGAAGGTTTGCTCTCCACCATTAAGGAGAAGTTCTAGTGGATTGGGAAGTCTCAAGAGGGATCTTGAGCCGAGGAGTAGGAGTTTCCGAACCTTGCTAAAATCTCCGAGTCATTGTTTGCAATTTGTTATCCTTAGCTCTCTTACATTTATGTTTTGAATTATTTGTCTATCTTATTTGATTATTACATAATTGTTAATTAGATTTTAAAGTTGCAAAATTTAAACATTGGTCATTGACTCTATTCACTCCCCTCTAGAGTCAATTAATGTTTAACAATACGCTTCCCCATTTTTTATGTTTCTATTTTTATAAGTTTGTTTTAATTCAGCATGAAAATTCAATGAACTGGACATAGTGGTTGTATGGCTGTTGGAACTTCCTTACAAAGTAAGAGAAATCATAGCACCACGTTCCTACTTTCCTTCTTTACTTGGTCAACCTAATCTTGAAATATCCTGGAAGTTTCCATATAGCAGTTGCATGATTTCTGAAGCAACTCCTATAACATAGGAGACTTTTTAGGAATGGTATTTTACATCCTTCAATGACTAAGTCTATTTTTGGCATTCCATATATGCCATAACCGTTGCATGTCTTTCTTGGAGTGACTCCTACAAACTAGGAAATATTATAGGAGTGGGGAGTTGTCATTCTTGATGACTAGGTCAAAGGTACACATGGCTATCCCGATGATTGCCATGTGGTAGTAATGGACCCCATGTGTTCTTATGGTGAGCTTGTGTTTCACTGAATCCCTTCCACCTTTAATTCATTCTTTAGTGCCACGTATCAGCATCTGAACGGTTCCATACTTAAGACTTGAGTAGCTAGGTGGAACTACCTACAAGGTAGCATTCCTTTTCCCGTTGCCAGAACTAATCTGGTGTGGCAAGTTCCCTTATAACTCACCATATGTCAACTTTCCACTTGTCTAGATTTATGATATTTACAATTTGTATTTATGTTAAAGTCCTATTATATATTTTCTAGAATAATAAAATTTTATTTTCATAAGCACTAGAAAAAGTGTTATAAGTTATAATTCGTTGGGAGATACATAATATTAGTAATAATTAAAATACAAAAACTAGTATTTTAATTTTTTTTTTTTTTTTTTTTTAACAAAATGCAAGAAATCTATATATTTATTCTACATTCTTAAAAAAATGTTGTTTAAAATTTTCATATATGAAATGATTACTTAAAACAATTATAAAATAATAAAATATTAGGTACATTTTGATAATTATCATGTACTCATTCTCAAGTTCGACAACTATTAACGGAGGAGTATAATAAATTGTCAACCTAAATCTTAGGCTTTTTTCCAACACCGTGTGGATTTCTTGCCAAGGTAAAAATAAATAAATAAAAGAGTGAAATTGCACGGTAAGTGAAGGAAGCAAAACAAGCAAATCGAAGCTCTCACAAGCAGAACCATTAAGGAGGAAAAATCAAAAGAAACCATGAATAATAATTAATGATATAGATTTGGTCTAAATGCAATTAAGAAATGTGCATCATTAAATTTTACACCCCGTCACGCATATACAGTAGCGAAGAGCATGCGCAAAATCAAGAGTCCATGCAACTTGTAAGTCCCTCTATTTATCCAAATCTGCTGCAATCAAACACATTTAACATGACAAAAAGTTAAAGAGATTTATATAATCTATGAGTTCATGGAACCCAATAATTTAAGGGCGAGTTCCTCTTGCTCTGCCAAAGAAATGGAGTCAGCATTCAGACTCACTTTGTCCTCTTTCTTTCTTTCACCATCATCATTGTCACTGTCAAAATATATTTTTGACCTTTTATTTACCCGTTTCACACTTGCTTCTCCATCCGACTCCAAGCCATCATCCTCACCCTCTACATCCTCTTCCTCCCTTTGCCTCTTCCACTTCATCTTTTTCTTCATCCGTAGCTCCTTGCGGCGCTGACGGTCTCTAAGCTTGTCTTCCTTGTCCTGTTGTTTCATCTCTTCCCTCATCTCTGCGTATCTCCTATTTACTGCAAAATAAATAAAGCAAAATATTAGAGGCATATCAAAGACCGGTATGAAATCAACACATAGGATACACACACTAATTCAGCACAACCATAGTTTAGGTGTATAAGCAGTTTGTTTCATCTCCTGGGGTGGTGGTTGCAATGGGCATAGAGCAATCTTAATTACAATTATATTCTAATATATTTATTGGTGGTTGCAACGGGTAGGCCACATGATTGGATAGCCTCCTGTACTTGTGGTACCGCTAATCTGAATAAAGCCGGCATTTGATCCTGAGATCTAGTAGATTGCCTAGAGATTTTACCAACTACACAACCTGTCACCTGTACTTGTGGTGCCGCTAATCTGAATGAAGGCACCACTAATCTGAATGAAGGCGGAATTCGATACTGAGATCTGGTAGATTACCTTGAGATTTTACCAACCAGGCAAGCTGTCACCTTCTAAGCTACATCCAAATTACTGAAGTAAATATAAGTTAATGGTATAGTCGATTTTCAGGATCCGTTTTAATAAGCAATGTATTCCAGTTTTAGAACACGAATCAAGTATTAATAAATTATAGTTATACATTAAAAGGCCAAGTACTTTTTTTCTTTGTCTTGTTATTTATTTATTTAATTTTTTTGTCTTGACAAATAAGTCAAACACCTATTTTGGCCCTATGGGGGACTGAAACCCTCAACTTTCCATTTTTGGAAGTAAAAGAGATATCAATGGGCTACACCGTTTGGTAGTGATTTAAATTTGTCAAAATTAAAGAATTTTCTGAAGCAACATTGTGGAATAAAATATATAGATATATATATATATATATATATGAATTTAGGGTAAGTTACACTTCCTTAGGTTTGAGGTTAGTTCACTCGGGTATCAAGGTTGACCAAAATTACAAAGACCTCTCCTTTTGACATTAGTAAGCTGACAGCCGTTAAATTATATTGATTTAACAATACTTTAAAGAAAATTCATTTCATGTGAAAATACCTTATTACACCCATTAATAATAGTCATAAATGTCAGATTTCCCTTCCCCCATGCATTACATCCCCACCTACCCCAATTCTCTCTTTTGCCTTATGTTTCTCTAACACTTTTTTTGATAAGTAAGAATATATTAGAAAGCATTCAAAAGAGGAACGCATTCCAGAAACTATACAACGGCTAAAGCCACATAGAGGATCCCAAGGGACCAAAGGAACCCCAAAAAATCAGCAATTTCCTCTATAGATTTACAATTTCTCCCCGTCACCCAACTAAAAAGAGAGCTAATAATATGAAATTTCAAGGCCCCAATGGAGGATTCCTCCCCATTGAAAGATCTTCTACTCCGCTCTCTCCAAAGGCACCACTAAACGCAAAGGTTAATCACCCTCCAAAAAATTAGGCTCCAACAATTGTGGCTCACAAGGCAATGCAAAAGAAGATGATCTACAGACTCCCCATCCCTCTTACACAAGCAGCATAAGTTAACTATGTAATATGTCTTATCTTCCACAGATTATCCATGGTAAGTATCTTACCCCAAACTGCAGTCCAAACAAAAAAAGCAATTCTAAGCAGAGCCTTAGATCACCAAACTGTTTTCCAAGGAAAGATAAGCCCACGAAAGTCAGAGAGGCAACGGAATAAAGAACGGACATCAAACCTCCCCTGAGGAGAAGGCACCCACAGTAGATAATCAGATCCTCTCATCCACCTTCTGGCTATATAAAAGATTAAATAAGCCAAAAACATTGTCCAACTCCCAATCCTAAAAGGAACGCCGAACTCTCACATCACAGGTAAACCTACAGCTATCAAGTTGATAACAGTCGGCCGCCAGTGCATGCCTATCAACAACAATCTTATAAAGTCTGGGGAAAGAACAAGACATCAGGTAATCACCACACCATAAATCCTCCTAGAACCAAACATCCCTTCCATTCCGAGCTGTGAATCTGATGTGTTTACAAAACTCAGCTCAGGCCTTCCTAATAAACTTCCACACTCCCACACCGTTAGCAACTCTGGCCGGCCAAACGACCACCCGCCTCTCTCCTACCCAAAACAACATAAGATAACCTTCCTCCATAAACGATGCAGCTCACTACCGGATCTCCACAAACACTTACCAAGGAGGGCTATATTGAAGGGGGCCAATCTCCTAATGCCAAGACCTCCCACCTGAAGAGGCCTGCAAACATGATCCCAACGTACGAGATGATACTTGAACTCCTCCCCCTGACCACCCCACAGAAAATTCCATTGGAGTCTCTCAATCCTATCAACAACAGAGGAAGGAACCTGGAAAAGAGACAAGTTGGAAGGCTCGACAAAAGAATAACCTTCCCGCCCTTCGAAAGATACTGCTTCTTCCACCCAACCAAACTTCTTTCAACCCGCTCAATCACATGATCCCATCCTCCCACCCTCCCACCCTTCTCGATGAAGCACCTAGAGGCAAACCCAGATAAGAAATAGGGAAGTTCACCTCACACCTAAGAACCTCAGCAAAAGAAGCAAAATCCTCGACCTCCCCCACAAAACAAGCACACTCTTACCCACATTAACTTTCAACCTAGAAACTGCTTGAAAACACACCTCAAATATCTCAAGACACATCCGTATCGCAAAAAACCAGGGTGTCATCCGCAAACAGTAAATGAGAGATCTCCATCTAATGACCCAGATCGGAACCCACCCTAAAGCCCCTAATGAGGCCCAGATCCGCTCCGCAGCACTCCTCAACAACCTACTAAGAGCCTCCATAACAATGATGAACAAAAATGGAGAAAGAGGATACCCCTGCCGCAGACCCCGAGAACTACCAAAAAAAACCGGTAGGAGACCCATTCAGCAGAACAAAAAATCTAACAGAGGAAAAACAGACCTCTATCCATCTCCTCCATCTTTCTCCAAATCCCAGGCTCCCTATCAGATACAACAAAAAGCTCCAAGTAACATAATCATAAGCCTTCTTGATGTCAAGCTTACATAACAGTCCAAGAACACCTCTGGAGTCCACACACTCGCTTGTAATGAGAGTGGAGTCAAGAATCTACTGGCCACCAACAAAGGCGTTATGGGACTCTGAGATGACACCATCCAGGACCTCCCTTAATCTCAAAGCAAGGATTTTAGCAATAAGCTTATAAATGTAACCCAACAGACTTATTGGTCTAAAATCCTTAACATCAAAAACTCCACCCTGCTTACAAATGAAGGCAATGAAAAATGCATTAAGCAACTTTTCAAACCACCTATAAGAATGAAACTCATGAAAAGTGCACATAACCTCACTCCTTACCACCTCCCATCTATCCAACCATAGTTGTAAAAAGCGCCGAAGGCGCGCGCCTAAGGCGCGCGCCTAAGGCACAAGGCGCATGACTTGCGCCTGTATAGGCCCCAGGCGGTGATCTTTGAACAAGCGTGCGCCTTTACATAAGAGGCGAGAGGCCCCAGGCGTAGAAAAGGCGCGCCTCCTTTTATTTGTTACTATTTGCTATTTGTTTATTACTTATTATTTGGTTATTATTACTGTTTTAGCAACTTTACAAAAAGAAAAAGAATAAAATAAAAGCAAAAGCAAAAAGGAAAGTGTAAAAGTGAATCGAAGAGGAGGGGGGCTAGGGCTGAGAAACTTTGAAGCAAAATTCTGCAAGTTTGCGATTCTGCCGACAGAGGAAGCTTGTGATTTCCAGGTAAGTCCTTCTCCTTCTCCTCCTTCTTCTCTCTTCTTCAGATGTTCTTCTCTCTCTTTTTTTCTCTCTTCTTCTTCTTCTTCTTCTTCTTCTCTTTCTCTTTTTTTCTCTCCTTCCCTCTCTCTTCTTTTTCTCTCTCTTCTCTCAGCAGAATAATCTTCTTTTCTCTCTCTTTTTTCAACTTCAACCTTTCCTCCTTTTCTTTTGCTGCCACGTAGAGACATAAGTTACATAACTTCCCTTAGCCTTTTCTTTTACTCCCACGTCTCTTCAGAAGCAAAATTCTAGAAACCCTTTTATAACTGGCCTTTTCTTTTACACCTCCTTTTCTTTTGCTTGATTTTCTTATTAAAAACACTATTTTTATGCTAATTAAAAATAACTTGCTTCAATTACTTTTTGTTTTCCAAAATTTTCTCCTCTCAATTCAAGGAAAAAAAATTGTCTTCTCTGAAACTTGCTGTTTAATTATTAATTTATTAGAATCAATCTCATTTTTTATACTACCTCTCTATGACCTCCAACATGAATGGTACTATACATAAATCATTTGATGTCCCATAATTGGTTTTTAAAATTTAAACTTTGACTGTGTGTATTTGAAAGTTTAGGAGTTTCACAGTAGAGTAGTAAACTACTTAATTTTACTTTGAAACAATGTTTGAAATCAAAAGTGAGAGTAATATTCAATCTCAATTTTTTTTATTCAACATTTCATTTTCCCAATTTAATTGATTGGTCAAATAGGATTCCAAGTGAAAATTTAAAAAACAAAAAATTAGTTTTAAACTTAATCCTGTAACTAATTTGAACTACTTCATTAGACTATTAGAGTGATCATTAATCCTGTTTTTGTTTTAGTTTTATCTCATAATTCTCCTTAGTTAGACTTTTACATCTTTATATTAATATGTTTGATTATTCACTATTGAACTCAAGTAGATTTAGTTGGCTTTGGCATCTTTATGTTGAATATTGAACTTAAGTAATTGATTTAGTTAACTTTTGCATCTTTATATATACTATTGAATCTTTATTGGGTGAGGTTTGTTTTTTTTTTTTTTTCAACGTGCGCCTTGCTTCAGTTGGGCGAGCGCCTCACCTTGCGCCTCTGGCTCCAGAAGGCCTTTGCGCTTTTTGTCCGCCTTGAGCCTTTAACAACTATGTATCCAACAAAAATCTCATAGTAAAACAATCCGGACCTGGAGCATTGTCACCATTACAGCTCTTCAGAGCCTTCAGAACTTCCTCCTCAGGGAAAGGGATCTCGAGCCCATCCTATCCATCGCTCAGATAGAGTCAAAGTGAAGGCC